CCCTGCATGAAGTCTTCTTTGTCTTGTTAGCAGTTGTGTCTGAATATAGCAGAGACCTAGGAACCTTTTTGTCCTTTCCTAGTCACGTAGCTTGTAGAATGTTGTCCCTAACTGAAAAAGTGATGTACTTTTTCTGACACAAACATGTTTTTACTTCTACGCTTGATTTTCTCATTTCTCTATTTTCGCGCATTCAATTTAGAGTCCTTGTTTTTGTGTGGTTGTAGACGATGCCTTGATTTGTCCTTTAAGACTTGTGAAGTTAGCAGAAAAACACATAGAAGGGGGGTTGAATATGTGTGTGTATGTACGAAGGAATTTTGAAAATATTTTTTGCAAGAGTAATATACTTCATCCAATGCACTTATGAATATCAAACGGTTAGCCAGAATTTGATTAACATAAGGTCATTGCGTCTAACAGGTTTATCAACTACTGAGGAAAATGGTTTATAATAATAATTATTGAAGTTGTTACACTTTCCTTTTCAAGATAGTTTTGTTTAAAAACAAGCGGTAGATAAAGCTTTTTTCAAACAGCCAACCTCTTAAGGTTTGATGTTGAGACCTATATATAGTCTTGTAAAATCTGCCCGTTGCAAGTGTCCGTTGAAGCAGATATAAGCGTTCACGACCCTTTTGATCTTGTCATTTAATGCTCAGATTCTTGCATTAAATTTTGCTTCTTGTGATAGACCTTGTGTGAAGTGTTCTTTGTCTTGGTAGCAGTAGTGTCTAAGTTTAGCAAAGACCTAGGAACCTTTTTGTCCTTTTCTGGTCTAATAGCTGTGAAGTTTTGTCCTTGTCTGAAAAAGTAATGTACTTTCTCTGACACATGCATGCTTCTGGTTCTACGCTTGATTTTCTCCTTTCCTCTTTTCTTCTTACAACTCAGATGACTTCGCGTGTTCTCCTGTGAGTGTGGACAATATTCAAATTGTCCTTTGAGGCTTGATTCCTCAGGTGATAGTGTGATAATTTTCGTCTACGTCTGGTAGTCTATATATAGCTCAAACTTCAACCTTTGTATGAGCATTTGTCATTAACATATTGACTTTTCCTTTCATCTGGTCAACTTATATATATGGTCAGACTTTCTATTTCTTCTGGAGTTTCTTTTTTGTCGTTGACCATCTTGCGTCTGAGTTTTTAGCCCGGCGCAGAACCTCTTCTCTGCTCCTTAGCTTCTTAGGTTTCCAATCCTAAGAGTCTTCAACTTTCCACTCTTCCTCAATACCTGCACAAAAAATGAGGTGGATTAAGGTATTGTTAGATGAATTTGGGTTAGTTATATCTGCACACAAAATGAACCAAAAAGAGAACAATTATATTGCAATGGTTCAAAGGATGAGTGGAATTTGTTCAATAAGTCTCATCCAAAAAGAGGTAAAATTGAGACTTAACAACAAGCCTCTCCGGGCTTTACAAGTATTCTTTGCCTAGCCTCTTCATGCTTTACTACTGATAGATGTATGGTCAGGTTTGAGTATTTTGGGTTACTCTCATAGAGAGGATACATATATGATCTACACTCACTAAGGTTTTGCTTCTAAGATGTATACATTTAGAATCCTTAATTTACAGAGAGAATTACACTAAGGTACATTTGACTCTACATGCTTTATCTTTGTTTTCGTTACTTCATGGGCTGCATATAACTCTTTTTCATGCTTGCACCATTTGGGTCAAACAGCCAACCTCTTAAGGTTTGATGTTGAGACCTATATATAGTCTTGTAAAATCTGCCCGTTGCAAGTGTCCGTTGAAGCAGATATAAGCGTTCACGACCCTTTTGATCTTGTCATTTAATGCTCAGATTCTTGCATTAAATTTTGCTTCTTGTGATAGACCTTGTGTGAAGTGTTCTTTGTCTTGGTAGCAGTAGTGTCTAAGTTTAGCAAAGACCTAGGAACCTTTTTGTCCTTTTCTGGTCTAATAGCTGTGAAGTTTTGTCCTTGTCTGAAAAAGTAATGTACTTTCTCTGACACATGCATGCTTCTGGTTCTACGCTTGATTTTCTCCTTTCCTCTTTTCTTCTTACAACTCAGATGACTTCGCGTGTTCTCCTGTGAGTGTGGACAATATTCAAATTGTCCTTTGAGGCTTGATTCCTCAGGTGATAGTGTGATAATTTTCGTCTACGTCTGGTAGTCTATATATAGCTCAAACTTCAACCTTTGTATGAGCATTTGTCATTAACATATTGACTTTTCCTTTCATCTGGTCAACTTATATATATGGTCAGACTTTCTATTTCTTCTGGAGTTTCTTTTTTGTCGTTGACCATCTTGCGTCTGAGTTTTTATGTTTTGCCTTAGATTGTGCTTGATGTCTCATCCAAAAAGAGGTAAAATTGAGACTTAACAACAAGCCTCTCCGGGCTTTACAAGTATTCTTTGCCTAGCCTCTTCATGCTTTACTACTGATAGATGTATGGTCAGGTTTGAGTATTTTGGGTTACTCTCATAGAGAGGATACATATATGATCTACACTCACTAAGGTTTTGCTTCTAAGATGTATACATTTAGAATCCTTAATTTACAGAGAGAATTACACTAAGGTACATTTGACTCTACATGCTTTATCTTTGTTTTCGTTACTTCATGGGCTGCATATAACTCTTTTTCATGCTTGCACCATTTGGGTCAAACAGCCAACCTCTTAAGGTTTGATGTTGAGACCTATATATAGTCTTGTAAAATCTGCCCGTTGCAAGTGTCCGTTGAAGCAGATATAAGCGTTCACGACCCTTTTGATCTTGTCATTTAATGCTCAGATTCTTGCATTAAATTTTGCTTCTTGTGATAGACCTTGTGTGAAGTGTTCTTTGTCTTGGTAGCAGTAGTGTCTAAGTTTAGCAAAGACCTAGGAACCTTTTTGTCCTTTTCTGGTCTAATAGCTGTGAAGTTTTGTCCTTGTCTGAAAAAGTAATGTACTTTCTCTGACACATGCATGCTTCTGGTTCTACGCTTGATTTTCTCCTTTCCTCTTTTCTTCTTACAACTCAGATGACTTCGCGTGTTCTCCTGTGAGTGTGGACAATATTCAAATTGTCCTTTGAGGCTTGATTCCTCAGGTGATAGTGTGATAATTTTCGTCTACGTCTGGTAGTCTATATATAGCTCAAACTTCAACCTTTGTATGAGCATTTGTCATTAACATATTGACTTTTCCTTTCATCTGGTCAACTTATATATATGGTCAGACTTTCTATTTCTTCTGGAGTTTCTTTTTTGTCGTTGACCATCTTGCGTCTGAGTTTTTATGTTTTGCCTTAGATTGTGCTTGATGCCCTATCGTCTTGTATCATTTGATGCATATGTTTGTTCTTCATTTTTTCTGTACTGATGTTCTTCTAAAACACTAACACGCTTGTTAGAGATAATAACATGTATTATATTTGTCATACTCAAAACCTTCCTAGAAATTGCTTCTTTTGTCTTAACAACTTGATTCTTCATATGCTTTCATGGCAATCTTCGTTTGCGTCTGGTAGTCCTTATGCATCTCAAGTCTTGACTTTCTTCTGAGTATTGACCAACTTTCGTCTAAGTCTTGTTGACTTCTGTTTGATGCTTCTTGACTTGTCTATGTGACGTTTTTGTTTGTCGTCTTGTGTCGTCTGATGCATATTTTTGTTTTGTCGGATCCTTGTTTTGCTTCATACTTGTGAGTGTTTTTAAAATTAAAAACAAGTGTTTTTAAATAATAATTTTAATAAAAAAAAAGTAGACAGAAGTTATTTCTTAAAAAATGCAGAAAATTACTTAATTTAAAAAAAAGAAAAAGATAAACACATAAAAGAAACTTATTTTATTAAAATGAAGTGTTTATGGAGAAACAAAAGTTTATATAACTAGACCCAATATTATTTAAGTGCAAAATAGTTTATATAATGTAATAGAAAGAATGTTATAAAGAGAAATAATAGATACTACTAAATTATAAAATATATATATATATATATATATATATATATAAATATTTTTATATAAGTAATAACCCCTTATATCATTTAATCAAAATATTTAGGATAATAAACTATATTAAAAAAAATACATATCTTATATTTTTATACCTAAAAATTAATCGTTGCTTTCCAATAATCATCATTATCCAAAAAAATTATGATTACTCTTGAGACAATATATTTATATATATATATATATATATATATATAAATATTTTTATATAAGTAATAACCCCTTATATCATTTAATCAAAATATTTAGGATAATAAACTATATTAAAAAAAATACATATCTTATATTTTTATACCTAAAAATTAATCGTTGCTTTCCAATAATCATCATTATCCAAAAAAATTATGATTACTCTTGAGACAATATATTTTTAATACCGTGGGACAATATTTTTAGCCAAATTACTATATTTTTATTTTTATTTTTTTAACAATAATTAAGAATTTTCTTTTCTGCATTAATATATTTTTTATTGACTGGTAGTTAAATTATAGATAAATATGACGTGAAAGTTTACATTATTAATACCCGAATTACGACAAAACATATACTTTATTACTATTTTTATCTAATTTATTATTATAATATGATATATTTTTTTAAATTTTTTTCTCATCTCAATAATAATTTACTGGAGTTTTTTTATCTAATAAAATAATTTTTTTTCATATAATTGAAATAATTAAACTAACTTAAATATTAGTCATAATTTAATCATTTTTAAATTTAATATATAACCTAATTTTCTATTTAACCTGTGCATTGCATCAGATAATCCAGCCTAGTAAAACAAAAAATATGAAAAAGAATAAAAATGAGTGCGTGAGCGTAAATGAATAATAATTATGATTATGATAGTTATTTATGCGTGGGAAATAGTGGTAAATGGGGGAGAAGCAAGAGTCTGAGTGAGTTAACACGTCCCATCAAAAGATGACCCACAATCTTCAATTTCTCACGGAAAGATAGGGCCCAATTCTTAAATCACAATTTCAAAACAAAACGGTTCCTCAGTTATAAGTACATGTACGCCCCCCAACCCATCATTTTCCATTCTCACTTCAACTCTTCCTTCCACCCTCTATCAATTTTAAATCATGGCCCTAAAATCCTCTCCACTCTTCCACCTCTTCCTCTTTTTCTTAGGTAAACAACCATCCCTTGCTAACTTTTAAATACTATTCCTAATTCCAATTGTAGCTGTCATATTGTCTGTAATTGTAAGGTTTTCATTTTTGAAAGACAAGAACCACAATTCTGGCTGCATTATCAAAGTTTTTGGATTGTGTTATGATTGCATCTACCACATTTGCCAGCAATTTTTGACAAACTGCATTATCACATATTTTTGGATTAATTAGGATTGTGTTATGTTATGTACTACATTTGCCTGCAACTTTTGAAGAAAAAAAAAATTCTCATTTTAGATTATCTAAATACTGAAATCAAGGTTTTAAAAAATGGTGTGCCAATCTGGTCCCTCAAAGTTTAGGTAAGACTGCATATAAGCTGCATTTATCTAAATTTTCTGATAATTAATATAGAGAATTATGATTAATTTGTACTCTTAATTATAATTAGTTTTATTACGCATGTTCTAATTGTCAAAGCAGGCAATGTAGCATCTGCCACAGTGTTTAGACTGGAAAACCACTGCAGAGAAACAGTTTGGCCAGGGACACTTTCCGGCAACGGCGCCGCCATTCTCGGCGACGGAGGTTTCCCCCTGCCGCCGGGAGCGGCGGTTCAACTAACCGCACCATCGGGCTGGTCGGGCCGCTTCTGGGCCCGGACCGGGTGCAGCTTCGACGGGTCTGGCGCCGGAAAATGCGCCACCGGAGACTGCAGCGGAGGACTGAGATGCAGCGGCGGAGGCGGCCCGCC